TTATAATTTCATTGTATAGGTCACTGGTTAGGCTACATTTGGAATATTATGTTCAATCTTGGGCTCCTTATCTTAGGAAATACATTGAATTGTTGGAAAGGGTTATTAGAATGGTGCCTGGGATGGAGGGGTTGTCATATGAGGAGAGGCTGAAATCTCTCAAACTGTTTGCTCTTGAAAAAAGAAGAGTTAGGGGGGATCTGATTAAGGTGTTTAAGATTGTAAAGGGAATTGATAGTGTTGGTGCATCATCTTTTTTCATATTTAAGAGTGAGAATTGTAAAACTAGGGAACAGAAATATAAACTTTGTCAGCTAAGACAGTTTTATTTTTCTAACACGATGGCTGGCCTTTGGAATGGGTTGTCTTCGGATGTTGTGGAGGGAATAAATTTAAATGATATTAAGAGAAAGTTTAATAAATATATGAATGATAAAGGTTGGCTTTAAGGTTTCTTTTTTTTTAAATTTATTTATTAATAGTTTCAGTTTAGTTTGGAGAATGGAACAGCCGAGATGGACCAATAGGTCCCATGTTGTCCCAAAATGTTATGTTAAATTATCACAATGAAAGCTTATCAATATTCATGATCGTGAAATTATGGAATGCCAGGTATTTAGTAGTTCGAAGATCATCTGGGCACTTTGTAGCAAATACACATTAACTGAGGTGGGAAGTCTTTTTGCAGCAGTGAAGAAAATAGTCAAGATAAGGCATTTATTCAACTAAAATTTCCTAGGTATCATTCATCGAGTTTGAAAACAAATTAGTCTCGTAATTTACTATTATTCATAATCTAAACTATGTGAGAAGTGATCGTAGCTTATCAATATTCAAATTTTACGACTGCCGGGTATATAACCAATAACTTCGAATCAAGATATCTATAGAGATCAGAAGTAGCGGTCATCATGCAGGACTGCAGATTTGATTTTCCTTAGTTCGCACCCAGTTACCTCACCCCCCCTAAAAAAATCACGTTTCCCATTCTGGGATTGTGGGTGCTTAAAAGGAGTGATGGTCAAATCCCACTATCAGTCTGACAAGAGTTGAAAATTGGGTACACTAGCATGGACAACTTTCGAGTAACTTTGGGCCAAATTGAAACAAACAAATCATTGCGACAACATAAAAACATTTCTTTTATCAATAATTCTGAGTTGAACCCGCTCTGCGTCATCAATTCATATACTATTTACATTCTCAATGAATGAACCCAATAAAAAACAACTTGTCTATATTAAGTAACATATATTTGGCATTCAGTACAATTGATTACTTAATAACTGTGCTTATTATACTCTAAAATATTCCAACACAAATGACAATATTCTTTCGTAACACAGGTTTCTCAATAGCACCAAATGTTGATGTTTGATGTCATCTATTAGACATGAATGCACCCAAAACACGCATACAAATCACTTTAAGTATGCCTATTCAAATGAACATATTTTACCAAAATAAGTTTTCTACATAATGAACCAGGATATTTTTCGAAAAAGAAAATTACTTTGAATCTTATGTTGTTGTTTCTTTCCTGTTTACCTAACGCTCTGTTTATTTCCTGAGTAATTCAAAAAGTATTGCTGTCATAAAAAAGATATGAATTTAATGTTGAAGACACTTATTCTTAACATGTAAGATCCACTGTTACGGAGAGTCGAAATTTGTTTTCGTATAAATGTGTGTTCTGTAATAGAATTTTTGTTTTGGGGCAAAGTCACATTTTGGCTATCTAATGTATCCACCGCGGGAATCATACCCCGAATTTTAGCGTTATAAGTCCATTGATTTACCACTATCCCACCAAGGGACACTGCAATAGTGAATATTAACAACTTACTTACACTGATTAGTTTAAGTACAGATGGCGCCACCATCGCCAGTATATGACAATTTATTGGAAATATTTTGTGGCGTTTTTCCCCCTTATTTCTCAACCAAACCATTTTCAGAAAGATTAATATTGTTTAGAAAAATATAGATTATCATAAACTTATAAAAATTTGTGAATTTGTGCTAAAGCTGTATTTCATTTGATAAGAAATACAAATTTAAGTTTTCAAATATGTGCTTGTAAGAATCCGTTTGTCATAATGAGCTTTAAGACGGTACCACAGTCGATATTTACTTGTCCTATTATATTGAACATGTCAACATCCTCGATCCAAAATTTAACTAGTCAGCAATTTTTTTCATATGCTAAAAATGACGAGTTAGAACCAATTAATCTTAACTCAATTTGTTTATTTTAAGAGTATACTTGGTAGAGAAACAGGTAAATGGTTATTAAACATGACAAACAGACTATTATATCCCGGAAATAGCGTTACGTTACTCAATGATACCCACTAATCTGTATACTAAAATAGATGTACTTGAGCAGGGTCCACGACAATATTCTGTTTCACGGCCATCAGATTCGTTCAAAACTCTACATACCTAACCTCATATGTAAGTAGTCTAGGCAGGTCAATTAACTGTTTTAATTTCTTTAAACATACAGCACTGCCTTTACATTTTATAAATTTTGTGCATTGAAATATAAAATACCACACAAATAATGTTTCGTACGCGAAGCATGAGTTTTCGACCTCGTATGGATTACAAAAATTCTTGTTTGTAGAAATGGCAATAAATGACATAATTGTATTGGTCTAAATTGAACTTATTGTGGTCTGCTATATTATTAATTATAAAGAGAGAAATTCTGGCAACAGCTTATACAAGTTATAAAGTATAATCTGCAGTTGGGCTAAACTGGTTTCGCTTCACAGTTGCGTCCTTCTGATACATAACAGGAGTAGGTAAGAGTACATACAATATTCCGAAGGACGTCATCCTGAATACTACTTTTGAAATTAAGGTACTATGGATTATTAGATTAAGATACCACAGTTTATGAAATTAAGGTACTGTAGATTATGAGATTAAGATACCACAGTTTATGAAATTAAGGTACTGTAGATTATGAGATTAAGATACCACAGTTTATGAAATTAAGGTACTGTAGATTATGAGATTAAGATACCACAGTTTATGAAATTAAGGTACTATAGATTATGAGATTAAGATACCACAGTTTATGAAATTAAGGTACTATAGATTATGAGATTAAGATACCACAGTTTATGAAATTAAGGTACTATAGATTATGAGATTAAGATACCACAGTTTATGAAATTAAGGTACTTGTGATTATGAGATTAAGATACCACAGTTTATGAAATTAAGGTACTATAGCTTATGAGATTAAGATACTACAGTTTATGAAATTAAGGTACTATAGATTATGAGATTAAGATACCACATTTTATGAAATTAAGGTACTGTAGATTATGAGATTAAGATACTATAGTTTATGAAATTAAGGTACTATAGATTATGAGATAAGATACCACAGATTATAAGATTAAGGTACTATAGATTATGAGATTAAGATACTACAGTTTATGACATTAAGATACTATAGATTATTAGATTAAGATACCACAGATTATGAGATTAAGGTGCCGCTGATTATGGGATTGAGATACCATAGTTTGACATTTACTCACCGAAGTCTGATGGAGTATCACTGTCATAGTTCTCCACATCTGCCCTATTAGACGTTGAGTCGAAATGACGTAACTTGTTAGTCTTGTAGCAGTTATTTTGAGTTTGTAAATAAGGTCGATTATAACTGTGGTCATTACTCAAGGGACTTGAGCCCCGAGGAAGGACGGTAGAAGAATCTTCGGCCAAGGACTGAGAGTCTGTCGTTGCTGAAAGACTAGTAAATGGAGAAGGCGATATGGGAGGGAAGGTTCTAGAAGTGAATCCAGAAGTTGCAATCTTTTCTTTCTCTTTCTGTTTACAATCGTCCGTACAAAGGCCAGACCACATGCAGTCATGCATTAACTCCACCTTCAGACCATCCTTGACCGCTGCTGACCCCATCTGTCGTGGCCAGCAACTAAGGACACTAAAATCAAGGTGGGCAATGTTTCGTGAGGGTTCAAAATCACTATCCAGAAGGTCTGACTCCAGCTGTAAGTGTTCCCGTACGTTGGATGGAAGATGACAGTCCTCGTACAGAACCAGTTCAGGCGAGTGCGGAGAATTTGGAAGATCAAACTTCTTCCAAATGTTTTCGCTCGGAGCAGGCGTGTTGTAAAATTCGCTGTATGTTGAAAGATAACCGAAGCCTTCTTCCATGAAGTAAGGTATCGCACAAGGTTCAGTACAGCTTTTAGGAAATACGTCACGCGATCCCATTGCTTCTATTTTTATGGTCAATCTACAAAACACAATGCCACCACTAAGTTACTAAGAGCTAAACACTAAGCTGCTACTTAAGATAAACACCATTAATGTGTAAACAGATGTAAAGATAAGACTCTCATTGGGACACTGTGAAATCTGAAGCTTATTCTGCAGTTATCTTAATAACTGAATGTCATTTTCCTCGTAAACGTTGGAATCACTTCTACCAAGTTTTACCTTTATGTGTCAGCACTTTAAATACAGAAACTAAAACTAGTATTTTACATGTAACGTCGATAGCTTTTGAAAGTGATTATTTCTTTAAATGTCTTCAATGTTTTTACTTCATTTCGAAACACTGTATACCTAATATTCAAAATTTATATTTCTGCATATTTCTTGTAAATTCTGGCTCTAGCGGTGTAGCTACGAATTAAGCACTGCGGTAAAGATTTGTATGTGACTAAAATCATGAATAATAAGTGACGTTGAAATACGGCCTCTTTTTCTAATACTAATTTTATAATTCAAATATTCAATAATCTTAAACAAGAGCGCGTGTACATGAATATAACAGCACATTCTTCCTCAATCTTTATGGATAAAACAATACATTCTTCCTTAATCTTTATGGATAAAACGATACATTCTGTCTTAATCTTTATGGATAAAACAATACATTCTTCCTTAATCTTTATGGATAAAACGATACATCCTGTCTTAATCTTTATGGATAAAAAAATACATTCTGTCTTAATCTTTATAGATAAAACAATATATTCTTCCTTAATCTTTATGGATAAAACATACATTCTTCCTTAGTCTTTGTGGATAAAACGATACATTCTTTCTTAAAAGGTGGAGTCAATTGTTAATACAGTGGTTTTTAGAAGGCAAGTCTGAATCTAGTACTATAAGGCTTCCAATTGTATCTCCATAGTAGCTACAGTACACTTTAGAAAAACGTCCAAAGCAAGTGGGTTCAAAAAGGTAATTAAATTACTTAAAACAGCCCAATCACATGATGGCTTTTAGAGGTCAAACAACTTGGTTTCCCCATTTGTGGTGTCCTAAGACCCATCTATTCAGAATTCCCCCATACTATAAGTGATACTTAAAAGTTAAGATTAGAGAAGAAGGCAATGTTTCGGAGGCATTAAATATATTTGTAACATGTTTTCTAATACAGATGTTAATTCTATACTGTTACTTTACTTTCTATTATTTTTCTTCCTGTTGCCCTTTGTTACATCTCTTCCCTACCAGATCTAGTACTATTCTTTAGGTTTCTAACACAGGCGTTCAGTTATATAATTTAACATTGTATTAACATGGAAAATAAAAACATTGTAACATAGACCAATCACAAATACTAAAGTTCTGTCCTCAGATGCTCCGAAGAAATTAATTAATATATTATCGAAGTCCTGCTAGTACGTTTAAAAGCTGAAAAATATTTAATCTTCCCTTATCTATAATAATAAAAGAGTGTGTGACCACCATAGCTCCAAGAAGAAAGAACCTAGAAACCTGAGATTTTGCACACATACTAAGTGGACCCTGAGGGTATGCACTTGGGTATTATTACTTGTCTACGTACGTGCGCGCATCTTTTCATGCAAAAAACTACATAGAAAAAAAATGTGTCCTCCATGGAATATTAGTGTGTTTTAACTATTATGGGATGTTATAGTGTTTTTCTTTAACTGTTATGCTGACGATGACAAAACCTTGTCGAAACGTTGTACATTTGCTGTTATGTTAAACTTATATTAAAGTTTTTCTTCATTACCCATTCAAGCCGTCTCCAGCCATTATTAGTCTCAAAGTGGGTTCCTCGTCATCGAAGTTATAGTGGTTTTTTAAAACTATTATAGAATGTTATAGTGTTTTTTGAAAACTATTATAGGATGTTATAGTGTAGTTTAACTATTATGGAATGCTATGGAGTGGTTTTGAACTATTATGGGATGTTATAGTGGTTTTTAACTATTACTAGCATATAGCCCGTCAAAAATGACGTGGCAAGTACTTCCCCCCCCCCCACTCCATAATATACCATAACCTCACATTTCATAGCCAGCTGAAATAAATAGGTTTTGCGAAATCAAGCTTGACCAAGAAAGAGGCAGAAAAGTGTAGTTGAGGCAGTCAAACGTCGGTAAATTCTTTTTAATGAGACAATCAAGCGAAAAATCATATATTATATAGGAAAGAAGGATTCCTTATATAACAAAGTCAGTGCATTCTGGTAACAATGTGTTCCAACAATGGCTTTTATGTGATGACGCTTAGCAACAAAAGTACATAGCTTATACTTTTATGCTAAAATGGGTTCAAATACACACACACTGTCAAGCTTATAACCCGACGCAAAGCCGGGTACTTTCGCTAGTAAAACATATAACGTAATGGCTGGTATGTTAATATTTTTACCAAATTAGGCCTATTTATTGACTACTTTGCAAGTTCTCTCATATATGTATACAGGTAAACAATGGCTTTTCCGAGTTTTGTCTGTTCCAGCAAGGGGGAGAGGGTTAGATTACAGTCCAGACTACTCTGAACTGTTTGTAAAGAAGCATTAAATAAGATGCTTATGTTATTACATGAAATTAAATATCGCGTATTGTTTACGGGTGTTAAAAATTATCATATTTTCATTTGAAATGTTTTTTTTTTAATTAAATAAGTTCGAGGTCCAAGCAGTTGCTTGTCTTACTTATGCTCGTACTGATTTTCTCTTTACGCTTCTAAACGTAAAACTTTATGCTATACTTATAGTTACAGGCTAGTTTACAAATTTATTTCTTACAAATGATGTTTAAAGATATTAAATGTTGTACCGGTATTATTAAACTTCAATAGTGCTAACGACTACAATTTATAAATTTTAACAATCTTTCTAATGTACAGAAAAAAGTTTTCGAATATTTGCATAGCTTTTAAAACGTAAATACACAAAAACTGTTTAAGTTTTCTTTGTAATAGAAGATATAATATTCATAGTCATTTTAATTACTTGTATGTTAAATGTCAAGTGTGGAATACATACCTCAATTCTGACATAAGAACGTCTCCATGTTCATTTAAACGTACATAACACACACGACTTCCCGCTTGTCACACCGTTCTCTGTTTGTCTTGCTTTTACGCGCAGATCTATGTTGGTGTGTGGGGTTAGAGTATTTTTCGTTTGTGAATGAATGTGATATTTTCGATAAAAATCCCAAATCAATGAAAGTTTTGTACCAGCAATATGTCTTACTGAAAACAGCGCTAACTTTTCCACTAAAGTAATTTACCTTGACACGAGTAGCTTTAAAAACATGATATTAAAGAAACTATTTGTCGTTGCGGAGTTACACAGTTTCTCTTCAAGTGATTGAACGTTTGGCGGGAAATTACAGATGTGTTCGTAAACTAAAATACACCCAGCGGATCGATTGACGTCAACTAGCGGTAATACGTCACTGCTTGCAAGTTGCTTTACCCAAGATGGCGTAGACCGAAAGAGAAGTTTCTGTAGCGTGTCCTTGCACAGCTGTTCTTTCGCGTATGGCTGATGTTCATTGTGATTTATATGATTGAAACAACTCGAATAGTGATAAGGATATTGATGCCTGTGTTGCTTTACACTGCTGTAATGTTAGTAAAACTGAAGGATTATGTCACTTTAGATTGAGGTAGGCCTAAGTTTACAGTAGTTTCAGGATCGTTGACATTTCTTGTCTAATTTTAAACCTCTTTCCAGATAGAAAATTTGAAATATGATGTTTTTTCCACACTAAGACAATCTTAGCATTAAATGTTTACAGAATTCCCGACTGTAGCTGTTTGTATTATTACCGTTATTAATAATAATAGTATTACTAGTCTGAGGTGAATGCTTCTCCTTTCTATATATATATATTTTACTCAGTTATTTATAATTTAGATCATTTAACTACCGAGTTAGTGAATTGAACAAAATTGGTGTATGAATGGTATTTCACTTGTGTTAAAATCAAGCTAATGCACTGTCGTTAAAGGGATTCTTTTTAATAGCATATTTAAATACCTCATTGTTAGTACGTTATATGTTCTATCATATAATTCATTTTGGTTCCTGTATGATATTATTCATTCATAGATTTCGAGTAACAAAAAATATAGGCATATTTCCTGTGGCTTTATTAATTTTTTTTCATGTGTATATCATGGGCAGACTTAACATATTTTCGTTTTTTATTGCAGGAAGTTATTAAACTTGCAGTACTGTAGGAAGGCTTAGAGTCACAACAGAAAAAATGTTTTAGCAGCTTTATGGACATTTTCAAACCAGGAGTCATACTGAGGTGTATTGGTGTATCAGAACGTCACTTGTTTGAAATAGTAGAGTCATTCTGCAATATTTTATGTGACATGCAAATAGTATATTAAGTGGTCATCTAGAAAGGACACTGAAACTATTGTTGCACTCTAACATTTTGGATGGAAATAATTCGTTTCCTGGAGTGTTTGGTTATATTGATGGCTCACACATCCAAAGCAGGAAAAGATCCAGCTAATTATTATAACAGGAAGCAGTTTGTGACTCCAAATTAAGTTTCTGGATGTGTTTTAACGTTAGCCAAGATCATCCAGTGATGTACGGTGTGGAAAAACAGCCCAGTATTTTAGCAGCTTGTCTCATCATCAGCTATAAATGTTTACTGGGAGACAGTGGCTACCCATTAAATTCATTTTTAAATGGTGCCATACAAAGACTGTGGAAATATGACAATGCAGCAAAAACAATTGAATTTGCGACTCGGTGCCACACAACTTGTGAATTAACAAACACTTGGCTTATTAAAAGATAGATTTAGACATTTGAGGTACTTGAACATGAAAAAGTTAGAACTGGTATCTAGAATCCTATTGGCTTGTTGCATAATTCAACAAGATAATGTTATTGTGTAGCCTATCGTGGATGGCTACCACACATTGAAAAAACAGGTCCAGGTACTAACAAGGAAGCTATTGCAAAGAGAGATTTTCTGGCAACCAGTGCCGAAAAAATAATTGCTTTGTAAATATGACCTGTTATATAAACAACCTGTATTGATTTTTGAAATGCTATTTTCATCATTATGTTTATGTTTATATTTAATTACTTTTTTTTTCTGCGTGCATCTTGCAGTAAAATTCAACTGTCAACACTACCTTGTGTGAAGAATAGTTGTCACAGGAGTAATGATTAAATACAGTGATATTTAACCCCTTAAGCATAGTGAATTCATAATAGGTATAAATATTATAGTACTGTAATAAAATATAATGTACAAGGAATAAACCAGTCAGACAAGTGTCACATTTTAACATAATTATTTTATTATAATGTTTTTGATTTCTTGATTTCCACTTTAAACATAAATTAATAAAGAAATAAAAACTATCTGTTTTGGACATATTTTTTGGCAATAAGTTGTAATTTTGCATCTCTAAGTCTGTTTATTGCCTCCAACTTTTCTTGTTCCATTAAATCTCTTTCTTGTTTCTCCTTTTCTTTTTTTTTCCTTCTTGTCTGTCTGTCTTCTAAAACAATCAGTAAACCAATGTGGAGGCTGGGTGTTCTTTCTTTTCATTTTGCCAGACTCACAACTTGTAGAAAAAACAATGGGGTATGTTATCACTGTTTACATCCTGATCAATTGATGTTGATGTACCTGCAATTTCCGAATTTATTGGGTGGGTTAAAGGTGGGGGGTTATTGAGGATGATAGTTGGACTTTAAGATATTCTCAAGACCAATAAGTGAAAAAACTCCCAGTTTCTTGTAGCCTTTTCCCGTTTCAATTTTTCTGTATGTTTGGAGAAGATTTCTCCATTTTTATTCCACCTTACTTCACAATTTTCTTTTTGTACATAATGGATTTTCAAACACGTCTGCCTATCTAACCATATGGCACTTAACAGCTGCAGTGGGCCATTTACCTAAATAACAGTATACAATTTGCCAGTGAAGATGGAGTTGAATTTCTATAGCAGTATACCAGTAGTAGATGCTAACGCTTATAACGAGTTTGAAATTTATTAATATTGTTACTTGCATTGAATAAGTGTACACAAAGGTCTTGCATCAAATAATCCCTTTGTCTGTTATATCATTTATCAACAATTAAACTATATGAAATCAAATATTTCTGCGTGCAGCTTCCTCAAGATAAGAAATACAAGTTATGAGGTCATAATTATTATTTAAGTTTGTAGAACACAATTATATGAGGGTATATCAGTACAAAATATTTTGATTGCAATATAAATAGAATATCAATTGATCACTGGCAAATTGTAAACTGTTATTTAGGTAAATGGTCCACTGCAGCTGTTAAGTGCCATATGGTTAGATAGGCAGATCAGTTGAGGATCAGCCTAAAATTAATTATTTGTACGTGCAATAAAATTCTAACTTTTCTTTATATAAGAGTTATATATCACTTTCGAAAGCTGTTTTTTGGTACGCTATTTCTGTCTCATTATCACCCTTTCCAGGGATATTGGGTGGTTTTAGGCCTCTTGACGACTAGATTATGTGGTACAATGAACCTGACAATTCACCATTACTAGCATTAATAAATTTATTCAAAATTTTCAGATGGATCTGTAAGTGGAAAAGTATGCTGGAATTTAGAATTCAAGTAATACATACAATTTCAGTAACACTTGTTGCAAATATCTATAAATATTACGTACGTTTATTTTGCAAAACATAAAGAGAACGCCGTAATTTTTCTCTCCTTTTTTTTCAAAGTTATACTTGAAAGTAACCTTAAATGACGTAATGCCATAATAATACCCTTATTTGTTTGTTTTTGAATTTCGCGCAAAGCTACAGGAGGGCTATCTGCGCTAGCCGTCCCTAATTTAGCAGTGTAAGATTAGAGGGAAGGCATCATCACCACCCACCGCCAACTCTTGGGCTACTCTTCTACCAACGAATAGTGGGATTGACCGTAACATTATAACGCCCCCACGGCTAAAAGGGCGAGCATGTTGTGATGGGGATTCGAACGCGCGAGTCGAGCGCCCTAACCACCTGGCCATGCCGGCCTACCCATATTTAATAAAATATCTACAAAATACAAGCACTTGTTACAAATCCACCAAAACATAAATTCTGTTGTTAGTGCATAAATGAAAAATGTTTTTTGTTTACGGAAAACTGTAAAGACTTGTTTTATTACTACAAAATATAGTAAATTAGAATTTTAATTTTCTGTATATCTTTTCACCTGACAAGTACGCCTAAAAAAGCAAGAAATCTGAATTTTCGGAACTTTACAGTTTGCAATAAACATGGTGAAATAATAATTGATGCAATCCAAATTACGACAAAATATTCGAAAAGAAAAAGACATAGACTGACCTATTTCAACACGATCTGCAGTTTCACTGTCAACAAATGCGGTGTAAACGACACCACCATTATTAAAATTCATTTCTTTCGTGTTAACCGCCATCTTACAAAACACAATGAAAAGCAAGGTTTTAGCTTGCAAGCGGCTTTACTTTACGAACGTTACTGCTTCTCGAGGTTCTATAACATCTGATTAGTAGTTTTTAACAATAATATTTTAAAATATTTGATAACATTCGCTATAACTGTTCACCATTATTTTTCGTCCAGTAAGAATGTACGAGCTATCAAACTGGAATATACACTTATTTTTTTGTAGTTGTTGTTTATCACAAATTTACATTATGGTCTATCTGTGCTCTGTCCACCGAGGGTATCGAAACCCAAATTTAAGCATCATAGGCAATCTTAATCACCGGGGGGGTATATACGCCTATAGTTTTAACTTTAAAACAAGTACATATGAATACACTTGTAATAGGTACAAACAGAAAACATTTTATTTAGAATTCTATCAAACACTAGTGACAAACCAACAACCAAATTTTTTCTTTGGGTTTGTATTAAATATTGCCCTATATCGCCATTATAAAAATGTTTCAGTGTGATACTGATCAGATCTGGGGAGGACGGTCCTATAGGAACACCATATCTCCTTTAAAAATCACACACCCCACCCTTGGAGGTAAAGAAATTGATATGTTAATTGCAATCTTTAAAATAAAGCGAGAATAATGGAATGAAATCTCCCACTTTCGATGTTTCCTTTTATTATTATTATTTAATTCTTAGTAACTATAAAGAAACCAGATAGTTTTGTGAAAGTTATTCTAACAACAAAACAGTGGTATAAACTACCGGGTAAATTGTTATTCTTTTAATGAATCCTAGAAGGAAAGGTATCTAAAGACAGAGGTGGGGGGTAGTTGCTCCTAATGAATCAAAGATTAAAAAAAAAAGGTAGTTTAAAAAAAAAGACCAACTAAGTAGGGGGGGGGTGAAACTTATTTCCTAAAACCGACTTTCCAGCCCTATAATACACATATATCTATATAAACAGCATGATAAAACCGAAGGTAAGTATAACCTACTAATAAAAGTTTAGTCTTCTAAACAGAATAATGCCGTATGCTTTACAAACTTCTCAAATTAAAGACAAAGCGTACTTAATAAATATCTAAATAAAAAGGCCAACCGTAAAAACGGAAAATCAGGGAGGGCTTTATAGTCATCCGTTGTAAGGTCGTCATGTGTATAAAAAATGTAGTTTACCACATACTGTAAATTAGTGTATAAAATACAGACAGGATGAGGACGTGGCACATTTTGATCATGACCAGTTGAAACAGAAGCTGACAAATCAGTGTCGAAAATACATAGAGGAAGATGTCCAATACACTCTGATAACGATCAATTAAAACAATGTTGTTTTAAAGAGTAAAACTAGACAATGGTCTATCTGAACTTTGTCCATTACAGAGAAAACAAAACCTCAGATTTTAGCGTTGTAAGTTCGCGCTGACCTACCGGTGCACCGTACGTTGATTAAAATAGTTATAATAACATAAGTAATATCAAAAGGGTTTCACCAGCGAACCATAAATCAGTTTTGTAATAAGAAGAGTATTCTTCTGGATATTTTAACTCATGTAAATTTTTTATTTTTTTTTTTAATTGTGCACAAAGCTACACAAGGGCTATCTGTGCTCTGCCCACCATAGGTATCGAAACCCGGTTTCTAGCGTTGTAAGTCCGCAGACATACCGCTGTGCCACTGGGGGGCTTCATGTAAAATCTTTTATAATTATAACACTGTTCGTTTTTGGCGCAAAATATGACAATAGGTGGAGTTACTAAAGCGCCCTCTGTGACAACATTTAACAAATAAGTAGACTTAAAAGAGTAAACGTTATCGAAGAATTTAGTTTGAATTGTCTTGCTTTTTTTCCATTTAAAAATAATACGTAAAGAAAAGAACAAAAACCAGAAACATACAACGTAAGTCACAATTTAAACCATTGAGAGTAATTAAACGATACAGGATACTAACATATACACCTGGAAAAAAGTTAAGCACCCCCGTATTTTTTTCAAGTGATTCAGATTCGACGTTCTTGTGACTGATTATAAATTACCATTCAATCTAAACGTGTTTATCAAATGAAATTATGCATTATTGGGCACAAGAAAACAAGATTATCACCGTAAAATAACAATTTTTAATTTACATATCAAGACAAAAAAATATGGCCAGTTTTCCCGCTCAAAATTAACTTTAACAAGTATTGTCAGTGAAAGCTCAAAAA